TGCTTTCGTACCCGTGGCGCTTGACTTTGAACCCGCGTGAAGGCATTTTGGGCCACTGTGGAATTCATCCGTGTCGATTTCATTCGATCTCCTTTGTACAAAATCTGTCATCACGAGCCAAATCCCCGTTCCTTCGCCCTCATCGCTATTAACTTCAAAAAAGCCGTCGGCGGGAATGGTTCGAGTAATCTCTTCCTGGATGGCGCGACGACATTTCGCCGCCGTTCGTTTTTCCCGTACGCCGTTTTTGATGCATGTCCTCTGCGGACTGATTTTTTTTTTGTCCAGCTGCCGGCGCGATGGGGTCTCGCGATCGATGAACGCCCGCGAGGGTGGGCACGGCTGGCGCTGCGGCTCGGCCCGCCGTGAGCAGAGCGTGCGTCTTCTGGGCAGAACGTGTGGATTAAGGGGAGGCCTGAACTTGAAGCGGGAAAGGACGGAACAGTCAATAACACACTGATTAATGATAATGGCATGCAAGCCGGGGGGCTAATCTGTCTAAGCGCTCTTTTTTTTTTTTTTTAAATCAAAGAAGCGATTGGTGAAAAACATCGAGGGAAAGGCGAGCAAGCCGGTGAATATTTGATCACGGCTTCACCTTTCACAAGTGTGATGCGAGCCGGTAATACGCCGGCTTTTGGTGTGATTTGGACGCGTCGACTATGTAGCGATCTCTATTTTTAAGTCGGAGCGATTGCATCGTCGGGTCTTTACGATTAGAGCATCTCACAGTGGAGGTACTTGATCGAGGGTCGCTTTGGACTGGCAGCTATTTGGATTTTTAATGATTATTGTTATTTTTTTGCCTTTACGTGACGCAAAAATCCTCTTGCTCCATACGGCGATCCTAAAAAGCGTACTTCCGGTAATAATGGTTTATCCAGGCCTTTTTCGAGCAATTCCGGCCCATTCTGAGATTTGGAAGCCTCATCCGCTCGCCTACGGACTTGCCGCAAGCGTGGGTTAATTTATGCAGCCTGGTGCATGCAATCTTTCCCCCGTGTCCAGAGTCCCGACGGGAATGTCGACAGTCTCGTGATGGATCGGATGTTGCTTCAAGTGTTTATAGCGGCGGCTTGTCATCGGTCTTTTTTTTTGGAATGCAGATGAATGTTCTCCTTCGGGGCCTCGCTGGGGTGAGGCCCACTCAGCTTATTTTAGTGCTCCCGGACTACAGAGGCATGATAAAAAGGTTTATTGATTGGTGATCATTTAAGAACGTTGGCAATCACGCGGAATGGATCACCTTTCACCGCGGCATCGTGAATTTGGGCTTTGTTTTTAAACCGTTTGCTATCTTGACATCAATAGATCCGCAGTCTCGATTTGAGAAATGAAAGTAACACAATTTATTGTTTAAATAGAGGCTGTTTGTTGAGACGAAGAGAAAAATCATATTCACCTTTGATTTATTATTCCCCCCCCCCCGTGAAGCCATTAAAAAAAAAAAATAGAACATCGCGATATAAGTCAGTCATCAAGGGCTCAAGGTCTTTTCTTGAGTATCCTTGTGTTGTCCCATCAGCCTTCGTCAGGACCAAGAATGAGCTCCCTTGGCCCCCCCGCACTTCCTGCTTGATTGGCCCCAATAGTTTATTCACTTCACTCACGCACAAAACTGTTGTCCCATAAGCCTTCATCAGGACCAAGAATGAGCTCTCTTGGCTCCCGCCGCACTTCCTGCTTGATTTGCCCCAATAGTTTATTCACTTCACTCACGCACAAAAGACATCAAGCTGACCGATCTGCGCATAGGAGCCAGACCTGGGCTGATCGATGAGGCCGTGGGCTGGGTGGTGGTGGTGGTGGTGGTTGGGGGAGGGGTGCGGGCCGGACAGGTAGGCTGACAGACGTACAATCAGCGGGCCAATCGATTGGGAACTTTTGCCGAGCTCAGATAAGAGCCTGCTCGGGATGCTCAACGGCCTTCGCTGACGCTCGCTTTTGGTCGTCGTTCTGATCGTTTTTTTTTTTTTGCCGTGCCGATCTTCTCTTCACATCCCGTCATCCGCGAAACAGAGAATGTACCGCGATAAATGCTTTCCTTATATGTGTATTAGTGTGCATCAGCCCAACCATCGATTGGACTCCATGCCTTTTTTTTGTCTGACCGTCGCGCGCACTAATAGTGCAGACTATCGATTCGCTGTACTGAAAACAACGGAGCCGACCGCACGCTTGCCGCCGTCTTTCAAACGCACGTCGGCCGGTGCAGAGAAGATTTCCAGTTCAGCCGAGGAATAAATCTGACTTAAAACCGCGGCGGCGCCCTCATTAGGGCAGGCTATTGAACCTCAATAGACACCCAGAATGTGTCACGGGAGTCGTTGCCTCCAGGCTCACTATAAAGCTTAAAGTAAAGCGATAAAGTTCAAGTCCGGCTTGCTCGAGGTAAAAGTTAAGTACTTTAGGATCCACTTATATCTCATCTTTGGGATTCATATAACACGGGCTGTAATTATTTGATACACTTTGGGCCAGGTTTGACCTGTTTTTAATCGTTGTGTGCCGGCTTTCCAGAGTTATCGCCGGATCGTATCACTTCGGCGATTCGTTCATTCCCTCCAAAGCGATAGACCTTATGTCATACGTATATTTAAGAAAAAAAAAGAAGTTTTTTTTTAGCTTTCTTGGCCCCATCCAGAGGCAAAACAAACATCAAATCGGCTCATTAGAGCCCTCCCGCGCTGCTTTGGAAGCGAGCAGACTCGTCCACCTGCGGCGCGTGGTGAAATCTTGACAGAACGTGCACAGAAAGCGTCTTTGAGCCTCATCGGCGAAGAGGCAACGCTGCATCCGGGCCGGTAGAACCGATCGATGGCGAGTTAATTGGAAAAACGGGGGGAGCAGGAAATGCGACGACGTATGCGGGCACTCAGCGCGTTCCTCTGAGGTGTGGGTTCTCGAATAATCTGCGAACCACACACGGTTTTAAAGCGTGAGAGCTCCAAAAGGTGCGGTCGTCGTGCGAGGAAATGCAACAGTCCTGACAGAAAATTGCCCGACAACATCATTTCCGTCCAACTTTCTCTGGCTCGCGCGGTTAAAGACGGTGAGCAAATCTGTCGAGATTCCCGCCGAAGGCGCCCGGGTGCGTTTGATCGACCGAGCGGAACCCACCGACGCGGCTCGCCGATGCGCTAATAGCAGACCGACAGGGAAGCTATCGGGCCGACGGGAAATAACAAAAGTAATTACAGCGATGGGGCGCCTGAAGCCGAGGCGCAGCGGCGAACCTCCAAAATAAGAGCACGGTTTCACGTCGGAAAGATAGTTTCGGAATTTTAAGAAACTATAAGGACACTACAAAGAGTACTCTCACCACCAATAATGTCGACAGAATTTGTGAAAATGACTCTTTGAAGAAAATGGATGCGGACATCACAGGCACCGTGTCGCCCAAATGACCTCATATTTGTGAAAGCGACGCGCCGCTTCCCATCTGCAAATAGCTCGATTTTATTTCGGGAGTGCGAGGACCAGAAAATATCTCATTGGCAGAGTTTTAGAGACTCTCATATTCATCTATAAATTAAAGGGGAGTCGGACAAATCTGTGTTTCTCCGTCAGGTGTGGTCGAGTGTGGTCGCAACAACGTTGGGATGAACGCGATTTTGAGCTCGTCCATCAAACGGCGCGAAAACCCATCTGTCGTTAAGTTAAACGTTCACCTTTTTAGTTTTGATATTTTGCCGCGCAGAGTTGTCATGAGAGGGGAACAAACCCTTTGGGAATACACGAGTCGCTTGAAAAAGAAAAAAAAAAAAAGTCTCTTATCCCGTTTCATACTCTGGGGATCACGACATGTCACCGGAATACGATGAGCCGCCAGACGTGAGTGACAGTGATAGCCGCTGTGCGTCGAGGATCCACTTTTTTTTTTTTTCTCCTCCCAATTCCCAAGGCCTGGCCTCTCCATCCCCGTGACAAGCCGAGATGCTGTGCAAGCCGCACCGAGACCTTCATTGCCTCTGTGAATGAACTTGCTGCCTTGCCTTTTTTAGTCGGATTGCTGGAGTGCCTTTTTCTTACGTAGAAATAATAACGGGAATCGCACTAGCCGGGCTTTCTCCATCGCCTCCGTTGTGCTGTTACGCTAAATTGTGCGCATGAAAATGACCGAATATCTTGTGTTAAGCATTAAAAATCTGCAGAGGGACTTGGAACCCGAGTTTCACACCTGTTCAAGAGCTACGTAAAGGTCTGTCGTAAATCACTGGATTCGGTCCCCCAATTCTGCCATCGCTACGGGGGTTCGAACACTCGAGGGGGATGAAGAAAACTAAAATGAACTCGGTGCTAGATCATAAATCCAGTCTGCGGTGAGCTGACGATGCAAAAGGGAAGCGGCGGCTTTCCTCCCTGATGGTCTACGTTCATTGTGTTGTGATACCAGAAGAAAATTAACGTGACAGTTTCGGTTGTGTCCATTGTTCCTTCCACGTAAACTCTACGAAAGTCTTTTGAGATGTTTTTATTGAGAAACTTTGCGATATTTCCCATCAGTTAAGCAAGTGCATTAAGCTCTCTTTTAGCTTGCTGTAATCACGCCACGAGGGCCTTATCAAAACGGGCACCCGCATAAAAGCAACCTCCCTCTTTCCTTTCGTTGACTATCTCAGCCTTTAGCGCCGCCATTTATTTCGCCGGGCGGACAAGCCAATCTCGTTTGGTGCAGCTGTTGCCTTCCTCGAAATGCCCGCCTGGCTTACGTGTATCTCCGACTTCATCAAGCTCCTGATGAAACCTATACTGGCCCTTCCCCAGATAAGCTAAGGCGGGCAACGAGATATATCCATCATTCCCCCTACTTAACACACACACACACACACACACACATCGGCTTACCTGTGTATGCGTCTTGATATACCGCAGGGCTAATGCTACAACGCTGTCCTGAGGAGAATTTAGTTTGGGTTACGATTGAAAAGCAATGTCTTACTTTTCATTGAATTTCGTTAGCTAATGCACAACATTTTTTTTTTTTTTTTCCTTTCCAGAATTACCCGATCAACAGGAAGTCTGGAGCACCGCATGACCTGATGTCGTCTGTTCGGATGAGAGGCGAAACCGCAACAGTCCAGACGCGATCGATTCACCGCCCTGCGAATGGAATGAGGAAATTCAGTGGCAAGACGAGGTTAGTTTGAAAAATTAGAAAAAGCCATCGACTGCTTTGAAAATTCACTCGGATTTGATTAGAAAATGACCTCGTCGGACCTACTGTATAAATACTGTTGTTCTCAAATACGAGGGGCGCCGCGATTTTTAATTCAACGGCAATCTAAATTCTCGCGCGAGCACGTCGAAATGACCCGCCGCCCTGCTCGTCATCCTGGTTTGCTTCGCAGAACGAAATGTCATTATTCCAATGAACCTGTCACGCACACAAACGCGCCAAACACCCAAAGCGAGGGCCTGGCCATCAGCCGGGAACTTCATTGTCTCCTGCATCGTGTCATACTTGTATGTTTGTGAGCCAAGAGAGCACGGGCGGGGGATCTGGGGGTCCTTAACCCGCCACCCCCCGCCCAAGCCCCACTTAGCCGTAACACATGGCTCTACCAGGAAATAGTTGCTCATGTGGCGAAGGCCCAAAGGTTGTGAGGTATCCGTAATTGACTTGCTTTGCCAAGTGCAAGTGCCCGGAACATAAAGTACGATCGGTTGTCATGACAGTGCTCATGCAGCGGCCAAAGTGTTGCATCAATATGAGCAGAAAGATAAATAGCACTCGGGGTAATGCGTGGGCAGGTGATGTATGCTGTTCCGCCGGACCGACCGCGCACACGCGGCGTCATCCGAACATTAAAAAAAACGACCAAAAGCGTTGCGACGACGTCTTCTCCTCCGTGTTTTTTTGGTCAAAGTGTACACAAGGTTATTTGGTTAGCGATCAATAGCTTGTATCGAGCTCCCCGCACCGCCCGCCCTGTTTCTGAAAGGGCCGTTAAATCGATGCCAACAAATGAAATTAAGCTCCCGGGTGGCTCCGAGGAGCAAATGATCTTCCCGTGATGAATAACACACTGTAAACGCGTCGGCGCATCGCGCGCACGCGCGAGGATTTCCGTTGCCTCGTTCCCTCGAGGTAATACCCCGGGGAATGAAGCTCCGCTAATGGTGTTTATCTGCGGGTGCGCCATTTGCCGTAACGGCGAGAAGAACAAATGGTTTTGTTTACAGAGCTGGAAGTCGATGGCTTTTTGGATTCCTGTCATTTTAGACGGGCAAAAAGCGCTTAGCATCCCTCTCATTCTGAATCTAAATTAGTGTTTCGTGGCTCGTGTTAGCTTGCGCGGACTACTTAATGTAGCGGTAAACCAATGAGATGGTCACGTTTTCATGTGTTTCTCATTGAATATTTTTCTTTTCAAAATTCATTCCTCCTTTTAAGTCTCTGCATCGAACTGCCTTAGCCCATAGCGATCTTGTCTTGGACGCATGTCAGAAAAAAAAAACATTGACATGATGATTTCACCTACTTGGCAACAAATGACAAGATCCGGTGAAAGGCCTTTTTATTGCTTTGAATTTAATATCAGTCTAATTTGTTCTTTTGTATCCCCGTCTTTTTTTTTTCTTTCTTTCTTCTGCTCTAAAGTACACGAGAAGGATGTTGGAATTCAATCTAACGACGCTAATAATTGCCCCAATCATTTTCATTATATTCTGTGCTTTTGCCGCACCGGGCTCTAAATAGAGAAATGGTTTTCTGCTTAGCTCTCAGCTCAAGACCATTTATTAAGGTGTGTTTATCATTCACGGTGACCTCGGTTAAGTGTCCTGAGAATTATATTTAAGGCCGTGGGTCCCAGCCGGCAATTAAGTACAATTCATTACAGCAGTCACACAAGGCCTACGGAGAGGGGGTTGGGGGGGGGGTGTAGGAGCGAAACACCCCGGCGAAACAGATGGAGGAACGAGAGCTCGAGGCAGCGTGAAAGGAATGTAAAAGGAGCAACCAAATGTGTGGGAGAGGCGTAACATGAGAAAAGGGACGGACTGCGTGTTTCGGAACGATGGAGGAAGGAGGCGGATTTACCTGGGAGAGCTCGCATTGCCTCTCGTGTCAGCTTGTTTGGCCTGTGGTCATTGTCCATGTACTTTTTTTTTTTTTTTGGTTTTTGGCTAAAACTCATTCTAAAACTAAAAAGAAGCATTTTGCAAAATTAAAATGAGTCAAACCTAACATTCTCTAATACCTAACTAAAAAAAAAAAAAAAGCCAAAATAAAAGAACTCTCCTAACCCTAAAGGGATCGATATTTTTCTAAGTCTCCCAAATCTCCTTTCTGTCCATGGTGCTGCAATTTAGCATTTTTTTTTTTTTTTTTTTTAAATCCACGCTCCTGTATTTTTCCCTCTAGACTCCGCCTGCCAGCTCCTCACATCACTCCACCAATCTGATGAACTGTACCAACCTCAGATTAACCTTCAACCTCCCCTTTGTCACTGGAGGTGAGCCACACACACACACGCGCGCACACAAACACACACACCGCTAGTCTGTGTCTTTAATAGACTGAGGCAGGCAGAATGCTTGGATGGTGTTCTTAAGACACTGCAGCACAAGGATGGCTGATGTGTGATCTTTCCGGCTTTTTTTTTGGGGGGGAGAGTCATTCGAATGACGTTAAGAGTGCACCAATGGAGAGACGCAAAAGTTCGTGCATTGCCGACATTGCATTGACTGGAATTTTGTCACATCACAGAAAGGGTTCTCGCGAGAGCGCAACCATTCCGCCCTACTTGTTTTTTTTTAGGAATCATTTTAGGTGCGCCTTATAGTGCGGAAAATACGCTAGTCTGTGTATTTTAGCCTTAGCTTGACCTGTAAAAACCAAAACCCGGAATGTAAATCTGACATTGTCGTTTGTCATACAGCCGTAGCACAGTCACAGTTTGCGGCGGACTTAATGACTTTGCTGACCATTTGCCTTTTCCTCGAGCGCCACCGCGACGAGGTCATCATTTCTCCGGTAAACTGTTGTGACAGCCCGTTGAATGGACTCGCCATTACATTAGACAGTCACGTTCGCCCACAGCGTGGCTCGTAATAAGTTCGCCCATCTCGCCGCTGACATTTCATCAAACGCTCGACGCCGCCATCAGGTCAACGCCTCCTTTTGTCCGCTGCTTTAGTTTAGCGTCAAATACTTGGTGTTGACATTTGCGTTTTTGGTGGCAATGTTTTTTTTTTTTTTTTTTTTTTTTTTTTCCATGTGCCCCCCCCCCCCCCCCCCCCCTTCAAGAACATCCTGGCTCCCTGCATATGACTCCAACATGGTTTCAAGTCACAGCAGCAGGTGCTCCGTCTGTTTTGATGTGTCCCCGTGTCCAGGGTCTGCACTTGTGCTAAAAGCCTTCCCGCAGTGCCACAAACCGCAGCCTTATTTCGCTCCGTTCTTTTTTTTTAATGTTTTTTTTATATGACTGTCTACACACGTGTTGCAATTGCGACTCTTTGTGAGCTTCTCATGTTCCCGCGACGGCCACCAATCAAGGCAGGCGCTGCATCCCAGCGGGATTCGAGGTGCCCTGATGATTCCCACTCGCCCGCGCCCCTTTTCCGCACTCAGTGAGGAGAATGTTTCGCTAATCCAATTTGGAACTGCGAAATAGATTCACGCCATGTCGTGACTTTGAAAAACAAACCCTCTCAGGGCGCTAACTGGGGGGGGAAATTTAAACCTAATTGGAAAGCTTGAACTCTTTCTTCATAATCCGTCCTGACGATTTGCGTACTCAAGGTTCCGCTCAGGAAAGATTGGAGGTCGAAGGATGCCGGTCATCTTCGATTACGCTCTCTGACGAAAGGCAAAGTGGGGTCGGAGCTTTCGTGGAGCCGTTAAGAGATTTACTGAAATAACCCGGCTTGTCTGGTTTGTGCCGCTCGGACTTTTTAAATGCGCTGAACAGATTAATCGATGACAATCCATCCTGTTGGCCACTCGTCCATAACCTTAGAGACCAGTGGATCAATAGCGAGCAAGTCGACTGGCGTCAAGGTGGCCTTTCGTGTCCATTTTCGGCTGTTCAATGAAGGGGCATGTTGCTAATTAACCGCAGGGCGAAGAAAAAAAAAGGAGCTGCTCAAACAAAAATGTGAATTTTTATCGTGATATTAATAACTAACATCAGATTAGTTGTGGATTTAGCCACTCCTGGTTGAGGTTAAACTAAACAAAAAATTGCGTATTTAAAACAACCACATAACTTAAACACTGCTAGCTTTAGGCTCGCGACGTCATGGAAAACGCCATAGATGGGCTAACGAATAGCACTGGGGTCAGGGTGTTGAAACCCTTCAAGCAATATGAATAGGAGCAAAGTAGATGTAAAAACGCATTCTTTATCCTCCGTGAAGAACGATGTTCCCAAGTACTCGCTTTCCTATTTAAATCAACAACAACAAAAAAAAAACGGTTGATGTTAATCTCCCGCTGTATTTTATTTTCAACTCGAAAAATGTTCATGATATGACTTTGTGTTTTGTTTTTCTTCTGCGTGTGATGTGTTTTGATGAGTTTAATGATCTTTGCAAAGAGGCAGGCGCCATCGCAGCAAACACAAAGCCGGGGGCGGGGGCTGTGGTGGGGGGGTGCTCATAATGAATTACAAAAGCCGCAATTAATAGCTAATTAAAACATATCAATCACGCCGGTCGGGTCGAACTAATCGTGATTCATGAGTGAAATCTTCAAAAATGAACCAAAGCACATTTCCATCGAGCGCGAGCGCTTGTTCCGACACTCGAAGGGAGGGAGCAATATCGGACGCCGCGCAAATGACTGAATTGAAATTCCGTCGGCGATTGGTCGGGATGCATCGGCTCGGACAGTCGCGCGCTAATTCTATATTCGCGCGAATATAAGTCAATCATTTCTGATCTAGCCTCCCTCCATCCAGCGCTGTCCGCACGTATATATCCTAATTGCTCGACTTTGATGGCTTGCTTATCAACGGTAAATGAAAGAAGAGCGTTCCCGTCATAGCGTGGCAGCTGCGATCTGCGTATTTTCCAGCTCTGATAAGTCGGATCAGGAGAATCTGCCCTTCGACGCCGGCAAATAATCACTGTAGCTCATTAGAAATGGCACGCTATCGGAATATATGAAGAGACAATCATTATTCATTCAAATAGAGGTCACCCGCACTAGGTGTCGTCGTCGTCGTCTTTTTTTTTTTTTTCTTTCTAGATTATAAATTGCTTCTCTCCGTCCGTCCAGCTCGGCCCCTCTTCTTCCGCCCACCGCCCTGCAGCGTTTGAGAAAGTCTACTGAATTTAAATGGGATAAATCATAAATCTGATTAGGTGAATATTCCCTGTGATCTGGAGGGCAATATGGGGGAGAAAGGTGATGAATTGGAAATGATGAGAAGACTTCTCTCATTTTTATTTTCTCTCCCCTCGTCGGCGTCAGCCGGCCCTCCCGTCAGGAGTTTCGTTGAATAATTTACCAGCGCGACAATAATGGGAAGTACTTCATTAGAGCAAAAAGCTCTCGCGGTGTCGGCGATGTCTCTTAATTGAGAGCCCTTAGATGAATCTCGATAGGGACCATTACAATTTCAACAGTCTGGAGATTTATTGGCGCAACCTTTCATTTTTAAAAACCGCCGCCGAGGTTGTGACGCTGCCGGGCAAGCGTCCGCTAACTTGCCGTTAATGGCGACTCAAGGTGGGCTGAAGTGCGTTTGCTCGGCCGCGCCATGTTGCATTGTCGTTATGGTGGAACTCGGAGATCCAAATATTTTTTGGAGCTGGCACTTGATGTAAAAACATTTGAGAAGCACTCTGCTCTGCTCCCCGAAGCCTTTTTTTTTTTAAAAATAGCCTCCAGGGAACAGTTAACCTTCGCCCTCGGCTGCTAAAAAATGGCGAAGGCAACATTCCACAGTTCTTGGGATGTTTTTTTTTTTTCCTGACACCACTATCCCTTAGCCGAAGGAAGCTGCCAGCTCCGACCCGCGATACCGGCCAACGGTGACGACAGAATACGAATAAATGCATTTCCTTGGGGTCTCCAATAATTTCATCCGTCTATTCCCTCATGCCACGCAAACACATCTTAAAGCATGCGGCGCATCAGCTGCACGCATTCCATCCCCCCCCCATGCCCAATCTCGCCATTACCGACAGCAGACATACACCCGCGGCCTCGGTATCTCCCACCCGATAGAAAATATCGCAGTGACCGACGCGTTTGAGCCACAAACGCCCTCTATTTCTCCATCGCTCACTTTCACGATCGCTCCATTGGCGGCCGAGCGCGTGTCGGGATGCTATCGCGCCCCAGGCAATCAGAGATACAGTCATATGTCACAAATAGGTGTCAACTCCTATTACAGCGGGTGAGGGGGCGGGGCGGAAAAACTCACTTATCGGGAAGGACATAGCCTGGACACATCTCTTCTCGGCCTCTGCGCCTTTGCTGGATATTAACTTGTTCCCCTACAAAGGCCAGCCATATTTTGCGCTAACCTAAGTTGACTTTTTTTTTTTTTTAAATACATTCACCTTTTTCACAATCTGACACGATGCTACGGTATGCACTGCGGAAACTCACCACAGCTGAGCAAAAGCCAAGCTCTCGCATCATTCGCTGTCCATGTTTCACGGGCCCGCTAATCCATAATGCTACACTTAACAGACACGAGGTCGCACTTAGGCGCCATCGCAATCGCTTGCTTTTTGAAAGCCCGGAAAGACATTCAGCGGTGTCCTTAAAAGCGTTCCGTACCGATCGTCGATGTAACGAGCGCCCTTTAACAGCCTTGCGGAGCATAAATGCCTCTTGCTGCGGAAAACATTCACGTCAGTCCATAAATGCTGGAGTGTTGGTATGTTCGTGCGCACGTTGGCCTTGCATGTTCATCTCGTGTCATCGGCATGGAAAGTTTTCCATTGCTTTCACTGTTACGTACAACCCGGGTTTAAAAAAAAAAAAAAAAAAAAAAAACACACACTGATGAGGCCCAGAAGAAAATAAAATCACACAAATGTGTCATTTACTTTTCCTAAAGTGACTCAAAACACCCGAAAATTAAAATGGGACGAGACTATACTGTTTGCGCATGGGAAATGAACCGTAGCTTCGGTTTGAGTCGAGGAAAACTTTGTGTTTTGTTTATTTCCATCCCTTGGTAATCATTTTTTTGTTTGCCCAATGTCGGACCGGGAAATTTCTGTTTGCTCAACATTTCCCGCACAATTTACTCTCACCATCATCACCATTATCGCCAACCATCTTCCTGTTTCTATTTCTTCCCTCTGTGATTTTTATCTCGCGCTTCATCTTTGGCCAACTTCTCCCCCCGGAGCAGAGGCACCAAACCCCCCCCACCCCCAAACGCTCCCCCTCCCTCACTCGGAGAGCTTTGACTGGCGAGATGGGCAAAAATCAGCCAGCCAGGAGGAGTCAGCCATCAATCTTCCTCGCTGTCATTGGCTTATTTGCCCTCTCCT